GTAATATTGTTAGGAAACCAAGGGAGCCTTTTTCATTTAATAATCTCTAATCTAATTCCAGTTTGCATTTCTTCAAGTTCAATTGCCACACCCGAGCTCCACCTTAATTGCTAGCTAAACCTTCGTAAGAGGTTGAAATGAAGTTAGCAAAAGAAGTAGAAAAAAAAAAGAAACTAAAAAAACATCAGTTTCCATTTAATAATCTCTAATCTAATTCCAGTTTGCATTTCTTCAAGTTCAATTGCCACACCATAGCTCCACCTTAACTGCTAGCTAAACCTTCGTAAGAGGTTGAAATGAAGTTAGCAAAAGAAGTAGAAAAAAAGAAACTAAAAAAACATCAGTTTCCATTCTCTGCTACAGTTGCATCGTCTCAGGTTCATCAAGAAGATATGACCACTCTCTGGCACATGAGACTGGGTCATATGAGTGAACGAGGGATGCAAGTTCTGTCGAAGAGGGATCTTCTTTGCGGGCACAAGGGGCAGAATTTGGAATTCTGTGAGCATTGTGTGTTTGGGAAGCTACATCGCAGCAAGTTTCCCAAGAAGGGTATCCACCGGACGAAGGGGATACTGGATTACCTCCACTCCGACTGTTGGGGTCCTTCACGAGTTGAATCCATTGGAGGCAGCAGGTATTTTATGTCTATTATTGATGATTATTCGAGATTTACTTGGATTTTCATGATGAAGCAGAAAAGTGAGGCTTTCACGAAGTTCAAGCAGTGGAAGACATTGGTGGAGAATCAGACCGGGAAGAAGATCAAGAAGCCGCGAACGGAAAATGGTCTGGAGTTCTGCAGTTCTGAGTTCAACGAATTCTGCAAGGATGAAGGGATTGCCCGTCATCGGACTGTTAGAGATACACCCCAGCAGAATGGCGTTGCAGAAAGGATGAACCAGACATTGTTGGAGAGAGCACGGTGCATGCTCTCCATTGCTGGACTAGAGAGAAGATTCTGGGCAGAAGCAGTGAACATGGCGTGCTTCCTGATCAACCGTGGACCTCACACAGGTATAGAGTTGAAAACTCCTTATGAGGTGTGGTATGGTAAGCCTGCTGATTACTCTTCACTGAAAGTTTTTGGGTGTCCTGTTTATTATCATGTGGATGAGGGTAAACTGAACCCAAGGGCAAAGAAGGGCGTATTTATGGGTTACGGAGATGGAGTTAAGGGATTTCGAGTCTGGTCACCTTCTGAGCATCGAGTTATACTTAGTAGAAATGTGATATTTGATGAGAAGCCTATGTTTAACCCCATGTTGAAGGTCACTGTTGTTGAAGGTAGCAGGAATGTTGATAAGCAGGTGGAGCTGCAAACTCTCAATGAGAGTGAGTTTGAGCACCAAGGTGGAGAAGATCAACATGATGATGATGTCTCTGCAGGGCCAGAAACTTCAGAGTCCAGTGCACGAGCTCAACAGTCTATTGCTTCCGGTAGACCGAAGAGAGCGACTGCAGGAGTACCTCCACAGAGGTATGGCTTCGAGGACATGGTGGCATATTCATTTCAGGTTGCTGAAGAAGTGGATGCAGGAGAGCCACAGTCCTATAGAGAAGCAGTTTCGGGTGGTGAAGCTGATCAGTGGCTTGCCGCAATGGGAGATGAGATGGAATCCCATGACAGGAATCAGACTTGGGAGCTAGTCAAACGACCACAGGGAAGGAAGATTGTTACAAACAAGTGGATCTACAAGAAGAAGGAAGGAATCACTTCTAAAGAGGGCATGAAATTTAAAGCTCGGGTGGTTGCACGAGACTTCTCGCAGAGGGAAGGAGTTGACTACAATGAAATTTTCTCACCACTGGTCAGACATACTTCGATCAGAGTGCTACTAGCAATAGTGGCACATTATGACTTGGAGCTCGAGCAGCTAGACGTGAAGACAGCTTTCCTACATGGAGAGTTGGAGGAAGAAATTTACATGACTCAGCCAGAAGGATTCGAGGTTCCGGGAAAAGAAGACTATGTTTGTAAGCTGAAGAAGTCCTTGTATGGACTTAAGCAATCTCCGAGACAGTGGTACAAGAGATTTGACAATTACATGCTTGAGCTGGGCTACAACAGAAGTCCATATGATTGTTGTGTATATCACAGCAAGGCAGAGGATGGTTCGATGATATATCTAGTTCTGTATGTGGATGATATGCTCATAGCTGCGAGGTCAAAGTCTGATATCCAGAAGTTAAAGGGGCTTCTCAGTGCTGAGTTTGAGATGAAGGATTTGGGAGCTGCTCAGAAGATCCTGGGTATGGAGATTTACAGGGACAGGTCCAAGAAGAAGCTTTTCTTGTCACAGAAGAGTTACATCCAGAAGATACTGTCGAGGTTTGGCATGTCTTCAACAAAGCCCTTAAATACTCCTAGTGCTTCAAATGTTCATCTATCCTCAGCTTATGCACCGCAGTCAGAGGCTGAGAAGGAGTACATGTCGAGAGTCCCATATGCTAGTGCAGTAGGTAGCTTGATGTACGCTATGGTATGCACTAGACCTGATATTGCACATGTTGTTAGTGTTGTCGGCAGGTTTATGATACAACCTGGGAAGGAGCATTGGCAGGCTGTGAAGAGGATCTTCCGGTACCTTAAGGGTACACCTGATGTGGGGATTAGCTTTGGAAGTGATACAGAGTGCTTGGTGTCTGGGTATTCTGACTCGGACTATGCTGGAGATGTTGAGACGAGGAGATCGATGACCGGTTATGTATTCACTCTTGGGAGTTCTGTAGTGAGCTGGAAGGAAACTCTGCAGTCGGCGGTGACATTGTCTACTACTGAGGCAGAGTATATGGCGTTGACAGAAGCTGCTAAGGAGGGAATATGGTTGAAGGGACTGGTTGGTGATCTGGGTCTACATCATGATCAGGCAGTGGTGTATTGCGACAGTTTGAGTGCAATATGCTTGGCCAAGGATCAAGTCCACCATGAGAGGACTAAGCACATCGATGTGAGGTATCATTTCTTGAGGACAGAGAAGAGGATTAAGGTGAAGAAGGTTGGCACCGCGGATAATCCTGCTGATATGTTCACGAAGCCGGTTCCACATGGCAAGTTCCAACACTGCTTGGACTTGCTGAATGTCTTGAGTGGGTGACTTCGCCCTACGGGGCATTGATGGCGGGAGAGAGAGAAGGAGCAGAGTACATCAGAGATTTCAGAGGAAGAGGATTCAAGTCAAGGTGGAGATTTGTTGATATGACTTGAATCGGACTATCAGCCGCTACGACTGGTAACAAGGTGGAGAAGTACTATAAATACTTCTCATACTCCTCTGTAATCTGTAATCTCCTCGATATAGTGAAACTGGCTCTCTCTCGCCCGTGGACTAGCTAACACACATCGTGTTAGTGAACCACGTAAATCGTGTGTCTGTGTTTTTCGATTCTCGCTTTCGTATTCTTGCTTTGTAGATTTCGGCGATTTCACAATCCGTAGCAGCGCGTTTATAACAATATTGATATGAATCTGTATAGACGGTAACCTAATAAATATCCTATTCAAATTCAAGCCAAAATATGTTTGACATTTCGGTTCAAAACCCACCAGCCTTTCTAACTTTATTTTCTATAACTAATATCTATCATCATTACTTCATCCAACACTTGCTATATATATATATATATAGTTATTCGGTTGTTCCTACTTTCCATTATAATGCTTAATTTTCAGAGCTCTGACCAATTTTATACTAATAGCAGAGCGAATTTTATTCATACTACTGCCAAATTATTTGAAACTCTAGCGATCCAGCAGGCAGCAGCCCCTCCCTCCCTCCCTCTCTTCTATTCCCACATGCATAATGCATTGAAAATTAATTCCTTTTTCTAGAAACTGAGAAATGGGCAAGATACCTTTCCTTCATAGTAGGCAACATCGACAACACAAGTTACTGACCTTTCCTCCACGAGAGGCGCACAATGACATTTAGAAATCCAACATAAAAGTTAGGATTAAGTATCTAATTAAATCGCGAGCTAGATTGCTATTTGAATTGTGTATTTAGAGGGTATGAGGAGTCCTCTCTTTATAGAATCGTAAAATCAAGAATATTCTATCTATCTTTCATGAGGAATAAGTCACGTTTACTTAGTGAGATAATTACTCTCATAATCAAAATGTGTTATACTGAGTTAATTAACCCGGATTAGCTTCCAAATATTAATTGTATTAACAATCCTTCTTATTTTTGTATATACAAATTTTGTTAAAGTATTCAATCAGAAATTTCATTTATACCTTTCAAATGTATTCATCCCAACAATTCCTAGTTTTTCACTTTGGAAGACCTAAAATATATATATATATATATTTAACACACTCCCCCCCTAAAAAAAATACCAACTCCTTCACCCGACACATTTTTTCTCCTTTGTTCCTGGGAAATCTCGAGCCATGATGAGCATCTTTTGTTTGTAGTATTGTAACCTAATCAGCACCGACCGAGTTCTTATTCATTTTTTCATTTATGATTATATACGATTCTATTTGAACAACTATACACTTTTATACAAAATTTCTGGGAAAAACTAGTAGAGTAAGTTCGATGCATGACTCAGTTATTGAGTATCACGTCGATGCAATTGTAACGTTTCATTATTTAGTTGAGATAGGATCAACCAGCGTCACAGATAACCATCTGCGTGCCACAAAATCTTTTCCGAAAGAAATATAATTGTACACATTGCAAAGTAGAGGATTTATTTATTATGAGCTAATTTTCCGCCTACTAGGGACCGAATCCAACTTTTTTGTTGCGTAGTTTGGGCCTCGGCCCTCGGGACCAAAAAGTGCATAGTAGCTGTGAAGGATGGAAAAATAAGAAAAATACTTTTGTGAGTTTGTCAAAAAAAAAAAAAAAAAGGAAAAAAAAGAAAATATTTTACCAAAAAACAAAAATGATAAATTCCTTAAAACGGGAAAAACAAGGGATGATGATGATGATGCGGATAGGAGAGAGGGGCCAGCTGGTAATTTGGGCGCTGGATCCAATCCTGGGGATTCGGGCTCCACTTTCCCCCCCAACTATATATGGAACAAGATAATCAATAGCCTTCAGCCCTGACACAGCAGTAATTGTGAGCGAGAGAGGTAGCTAGCGCGTGTCCCCGACTACCAGAAGCTGCGGGACGGGAGAGCCCAGCTCCAGGATTGGATTATTATTATTATCGAGTAATAAACCAGAGGCCCTCATAATTTCTCTCCCTGGAAAATGCACTCTTCCATCCTCTTCTCCTTTGCTCTCTTCTTCTCCTTCTCGCGCTTCTCGTTGCAGAACCGCTTTGTTTTCTGTATCAGTGAATGACTCTGTCATGAAATCAATTTGCAGTCGCCGCCGGAGCTGATGAATCCTCAACGCACCACCGCCGCAAGTACGGGCTCGCTGTTGTAAAATCAAATCACACACAGGTCCGTCCCCGGCCCCTGATTTCTGCATCTCCTACCCACCTGATTTTCAATTTCTTAATTACATATCCAGTCCAGTGCTAGCTAGCTGGTTTCAACCGGTTTTGTCGTCTAGCGGCTGATTTTTTGATTTTGGATTCGCTTTGTCAAGGCGAATTCAATATACTGGAATTCGGTTTGAATGATGTTGGAATTGGTTGTGGTCCGGTGGACTTTCCTTTTACGTGGGTCAGAATTGATGCGTGGTTATGTGGCTCCGGTGAACCGGTACGGCAGGTCGTCAATTCTTTTCCCCTTTGGGGGTGGGGGGATTTTCCGATCACGGTGAGAGATAGTGATAACTGATAGCCAATTCCTTTTAAGCCCGAGTCTATAATCCAGCTGCCACTTGTTGTGTAGCTATATTAATCACCATAACATTATTTATCTCCTCTACTTTTTTTTTTTGGGTAATGTATGGCTTGTGAATGGTTTATTAATCTGGTACGTATCATTTTCGATAATTCTTTATGATTTTCGATTTTTTTAGAAAATCAATTATAGTTATTATTACAGTTTTTTATTTTTTTAAAACAATTCTTCTTTTATCAATTTCTGTAAAACGTTACATTATCTGCAGTTTCTAATCTACTATGCGCCATACTGCACATTTATTTCTGGTCCTCTCCCAATTTTGTCTTTTTTTTTTTAAATCTTTGGCGTCATAAATTATTTTATTTTTGTGAGGTAAATTGCATCAGACTTCAGAGAGATTACTCGTCTACTTGAATTAGAAATGATAATGAGTCAGGTTGAGTCCGGTTTCTGTGAACCCAAATTCAAGTCAATAAAATAGTCACTGGGTTTCAGAAGTGCAAACCCAACCTAACCCAACAGGTATGCACAACAACATGAGTGCTTGTTTGCATGGGTACTCATGGGGTTACAAAAATAGCTATACATTATTTTTTTGAACATCTATATCGAAACATTATTGAAATTTCCTATACAAATATATCTCTATAAAAATTAATAATATTCATAAATTATTCATATTGTTAGGTTCATACTTTATACTGACATAAAGACTAATGGTATCCATAAATTCTCCATATAGTTCAAGTTAGACACAAAATGATGTCGTTTTGTTTTTTTGGGTACGGGTTGGGTGGAAAGCAGGTTTGATTTTGGAAAAACCCAAATCCAATCCAACCGGCAAATTTCAAAAGCTGGTAAATTATGCACCTTACTCAAAACCCATTAACACTGAGTTTTACCTGTTTTGAGTTTTGACCAGATTGAGTCGAATTGGGTATCCGTTAGTTCAGGTTCAATTGTCATCACTAACTAAAACGGTACAGAAAATCAAGAATCGTGAAAATATAAAAAATGTACCATAGCACAGTTTATCATAGATATTCAACAAATTTTCTTATATCTTAGAGATATATTGAACACATAATAATCATCCATCGCAAGTTATATATATTGTAGGAATATTTTGAAACCTTAAAAGCCTAATTATTTTGACTGGTACCAGGTTCTCGAGCGGTAAATTCTCCAATAATGTCCACATTTTTTCCTCGTCAGAATCCTCCCCTCCTAATTAAAGCGAACCAACCTTTTTTCTCATCTCCTTCTCCTGCCCAACTCTGTCCGACTGTCCTTCTTACAGCTCAATTAGTAATTAGTGATTATCATCATTGTCTTCAACAATGATTAACCTTTTTTTATTTTTTTTGTGAACAAATAGAAGACGTAACCTCACCAAGCAACGTGTTGTTGGACTGGGAAAGGAAAGAAACAGAATCTTTTTTTTGGGTTAATCATTAAGGCACTGCAAATTGCCAAGAGAGGGGGGAAAAAAGTAAAAGTGTAATGGGTGCCTGCCAGTTAGGATTTGTAGGAGCAGCCACCAGCACAGGCTTGTGTGGTTGTTGGGCCGTATAAGCTTCTTCCTCCATTGGGCCGGTGGTTCAACGTTGAAAGATCAAGTACCAGCCCTCTTTTCTCTTCTCCCCCACCAAAAATTGGATGTTTGTCTTTTGTCGTTTCGTTAGAAGATCTCACAATCGAAGTTTCGTTCTCAATACGAACTGTCAAAAAGCTCCCCCACTGTATTACGCCAACCAGTGCTCAAGTCTTTCTCGTCCCTTTTGTTTTGTTGTGTATAAAGAAAATAGTTATTTGTACTAAGAATATTCTGGATGCTAGCCCCCACTAGCCAGAGAAAGATGAAACTTCTTGACATAGACATGAGGCTACAATTATAACCACAAATGTTTCTGAAGAATCAAATAGCTACCTGCAGTTTGGGTTCTGCTACTATGTTCTAATGTTATGGTTTTGTAAATAGTGAGGTGTGAAAGTAGGAGTTTCTGAATCTAAATTTACAAATTTTAGGTTTGGCTGGCAGGAGCCGTCTTCAATTTGATAGTCTACCATTATTGGTGTCGTTGAGTGAAATCAAATCGAGATCTATGTGTCTTGTTTGGCTCCCATGATGGGCAAGTGGTCATTAATATAAGAATAGAAATACTACTTCTTTGACCTTGATGGCTGGTTAGATCCAATGTATTATTGTTAATCCTATTACTATAATAAAGCCATCATTTTTGGGTCTAAATCACTGACTATACATATCTGTAATTCTGTAGTAGTCATACACTCAGATTTCCTTTTGCTATTTCTTTCTCGTCCTAGTGGTTGGTGGTAGTGGTCACGTAGCCAGACTTTGACCCTCTGTTTCTAAAGGGTGGAAAAGGAGGGGAGGGAAAAGATTGGGAGGAAAGTTGGAGTCCCAATGCAATTTCCCCTGTTTTTTTAAGATAGAAACAGTGCAAGGGGAAGGAAAAGGAGTGGAAAAAGTACTGTGTAACCTTCCCTCCCAATTTGGAGAGAAAACGAAAAGGGAGCTCTTTTTCCTTTTTTTTTTAATTCTGACAATATCTCTCATTTCTCTCTTTTTCCTTTTCGTTCTTCTTTGTTGAATTACTCAATTAATTTAACGTAAGAACCATTGTATTTTTATTTTTGTTATGTTGATGGGGATTATAATCTAATTATTAATTGATTGATGTTAGTAATCAATAGTTTCATCAAACTATATTAGTTATTTTACTCTAACCATGGTTGTCATATTGATGGAATGTTGGCATTTTCTCGCCTCAATTCATTTTTACCCCACTTTTGAAGCTAGTTGTATTAGAACAGTAATTTGGAATTATTTTAAGAGATACCGTAGTTTGAGTAAATTTTTTTCAAAAACAATATTTATGAAAAAAATCCAAACGACATAAATCACAAACTACAAATTCACTGTGTATTTTATGTGTTTAAAACTCTCATTTTGCATAAGTTGAATATTAACATACAATCAAATTATTTTAATATTATATAACCACTAAAATAACATATTCATCACACTTTTCAATACTTATATAACCACTTAAATGAACAATTTATGTTCTGTTAACAAATAATAAAATGATCATGGTTATGTAGAAATTGGTTATTTATAATAATCATTTTCGCATTTTTCATATACTTACTAATACATAAATAACATATCTATCACACTTTCCTATATACTTTTTCCCTCCCACTATCCCTTACACTTTCCCCCATAAAACAACATTTTCTCTCCAATTCCCTTCCCCTCCTATTTTCCTTCACCTCCAAATTTTCCCTCCCCTCCCCTCCTTTTCCTCCCCTACTTCGGAAACAGGGGGTGAATGGACTAGTGACCTTAAAAATTCCGAGTTAATTGAGATCCTTACGTGAGGTAGTATCGATAAAGGTATGAGGTCCTACACTTCAAGTTCTTAGGACCCCCTCTCCTCAAAGGCTCCCTTCGCCACTAGTAATGGTGCTGATCAGTTAGTGGCTGAACCGGCAAAATTACTGATCTGATTTGTTCCTGACCAGTTTTGATCCGGTTCGGTTCACGTTAATCCATAACCGGATGCATAATGCGTCTTTTACTCGTCAACGGGACATGTATATGTGACATAAACTATTAAGACAAACTGGTCCAGTTTGTGTGTACAGACATGGTCTATAAATAATCGATGAAACTTGAGTTGAACCGCCCTACACTCCAAATTGGTACTAGGTTTGGTAGCAATATTGTAAAACCGCTTTATACAGCTGATTTAGCAAGTGACATGGTCTAACGATATACAACCAGTTTTAACAACCATGGTTGGTAGGTAGCAAGAGTCCCGACCTTCCCCGGTTATCGCTTTCCTATGTTTTTTCCTTTTTCTTTCGAGATGGTATAGCTAATAATAACATTGACGGCTCCCTTTAAACCCACATGCAAATATTGAAACTCTTGGGTTTTTTTTTTTTAATTTTCTTTTGTGTACTGGAATGCATCCACATGATCAGTACTTGATTAAGAATTACTGAACTGCATCTGTCCCGTTTTCCTAATTCACATGCACAAGTAGCAGGTGGTCACAGATGGAGTACATGTACTAGTGGTGCCTGCCTAGTGGGTTTTAATTTAATCTCCTGGTGCATCTTCCCTTTGATTTTTCTGGGTTTTCTCCATCTTTCACTTTCGAGCTCTGTCATCACTGTCTCCCTTGGCATGTTTCCTGCAGCTGCCGTCCCGTCTCCTTGATTGAGGGAGAACCCTGTTAGTGTATATATACACACACAGCATTTTCATACATACAGAAGATCAGGGGAAGAAAGAGAGCCCCTCGAAAACCAGAGTAAATACATTGTAGGCTTCGATCAAAACCAGAGAGTTGGGGGGAAAATGGGTTTCTGGACATTGCTTCAGGTGGCTTCAATGCCAGTCATACAAGTCCTCATCGTCGGCCTCTTGGGTGCCTTCTTGGCAACCGAGTACATCAATGTCCTCCATGCTGATGCTAGAAAATACTTGAACAAGGTAAAACCCCCTTCTCTCTTCTCCCCTGCTGCTCCGTCGATCGTTTGATGGGTCTACAGATTCGGAGGGTAGTGATGATGCTTGCTTCCGCTGCAACATTTCAGGTTGTGTTCACGGTTTTCACTCCCTCGCTCATGTTCGCCATTCTCGCCAAAACCGTCACTCTCGAGGACATCATCTCATGGTACGTACGGAGGCTTAATCCAAGTTTCGGGGTTTCACTTTCCTCTGCAGCGAAACCATGGTTGATTTGATTGAATACTTGCATATTGTTATCAACCTGCTGTTTCAGGTGGTTTATGCCAGTGAACATTCTGCTGACCATGTTGTTTGGCGGACTTCTGGGATGGGTGGTCGTCAAAGTTTTGCGTCCCAAGCCGCATCTCGAAGGCCTTCTCATTGCTGTCTGTGCCACAGGTCATTTAACTGTCTCGTGTTTAAGTTAATGCCATCTTCTGCAGCTTGCAATGTGCAATGCTAAACCTTCTCTCTGTCTCTCTGTGTGTATTATTTTTTCAATCTTTAGGGAACTATGGGAACCTGCTGCTGATAGTTGTGCCTGCAATATGCAAAGAAGATGGCACTCCATTTGGGGATCATGCAACATGCGGCTCCATTGGACTCTCATATGCATCCTTCTCTGCTGCGGTAAAGGCCGATTTTGGTTATCTGACAGGAAAATTAGCCACATGGTCTGTTGACTTCCAAAGTTTAATTTTGGTGCAACTCAATTCATTATATGTAGCTGGGAAGCATCTACATCTGGACCATTGCTTACCAACTCGTCCGCACCTCAGCTGTTAAATTCAAGGCACTTCAGATGGCCGAAGAGGCCTCCAAACTGCCAAACGACGATCTGGAAGCCACTCAGGGGACTCTTCTTCTTAAGGGAGACGATGCACAAGTTCAACAAACTGTAAGTTTCCCCTCTCGCTACTAACCAACAGTCTTTTTAGGCAGCACTGCTGCTGACTCTCATTCTTCAACTCTGTCTCCGAATCACTCGCAGGGTGTTTCACTTCACTCGGCGAACGACCTTGGAGAAGGCAAGACTTCTGGTTGTACTAAAGTTATGGAGGTTCTACATCAGATATTGCACGAGCTCACTGCTCCTCCCACGCTTGCTACAGTAAGAGTTATTCCCCAAGAGGGGTAAAATGGTTTTTCTGGTTTGCTCGTCATGGTTAGGGATCGGCAGCTAATGAAACCAAGTTGAAATTTTGGATGGTTCATATCAGATATTTGGGTTCCTGTTTGGAGCTACTACGTTTCTGAGGAACCTGGTAGTGGGCGAGAATGCACCCTTGCGTGTGATACAGGACTCCATTGCATTACTTGGGTATGATTCCTTCTGATCCTCTTGTTGCTTCCAAAATTCTTTCTTTATGAGGAAGTGAACAACTGCCATTGTCTTCTGCAGGGATGGTACAATTCCCTCCATCACCCTTATATTGGGAGGCAACCTCACTCAAGGTAAGCAAAATCAAATATCCAAAACCCACCTATTCATTTCCTCTTTATATGCTTCCTCTGCAACTAGAATCAACACTCGACTTTTACAAGCTTGCTGTTGTCTTTCCTCGTCTTTCTGTTACAATAGGGTTGAAGTCTTCAAACATCAAACCATGGATGATCGTTGGAGTGATCTGCGTACGATATGTATTTCTACCGGTGATCGGGATATGTGTGGTGAAGGCAGCTTCCAGCCTCGGGCTACTCCCTTCTGATCCTCTGTTCGCCTATGTGCTAATGCTTCAATACAGCATCCCACCTGCCATGAACATTGGTAAACAAATCTCACCAGCCCCTTTCTCTCTATACATACATAATACAAAATCGATCCTTTCTAACGATAATGTAATGCAGGCACCATGACGCAGTTGTTTGATGTGGCTCAAGAAGAGTGCTCAGTGATCTACCTATGGACTTACTTGTTTGCAGCAGTTGCTCTCACCTTGTGGTCTACAGTCTTCTTGTGGATACTGTCCTGATAAAAGAAGAACGGGCATTATTCGATTGGGAAGTCAGGAAGTTGTGTAAGCTAAGCTAGAGGAAGGTGTGAATGAAATAAAAAGCGTTTGTCAGAAATTGTTTAGGTTGTGTGCTGCTGGGATAGTTGTTTGCAGGGTTGAAGCTGCAGCAGCTAATTGGTTTTGATTCTTATGGCTATATATGTATTGATTAGATGGGAGGGGAAGTGGGGTTTAGTATTGTTGTAGTAAAAGCCAGGGCAGAGCAGCTTTCCTTGTGTGAAGGAATGCAAGGTAGCAATTTGTAAAATTTTGTGTGCCTGTCACCATATACTATCTGTTGAAAGAAGTTGGATTTATCATGGTTTCATATAGTGAAAACTTGTTTTGGGGGAAAGTGAAATATGCAGTACTTTTTCTTGAGTGAATCAATGATAAATGGCCTAAAATTAGTATGAAAAATGAATTCGCTCGAGTTAATTAAGTGAAATCTTGTGTGGAAAAAATGAGTGAAAAAAAGACTTTCATAATCCATTTTGGAAGACTACGATATCAGGGTACCTTATATGAGGATATCATATTAAGAAATCTATATCTTATTAGGAATCTTGAGAGTTGGGAGAGATGTTCTTAACAAAGAAGTTGAGGGAGCTGTAGGTCTATAAGAGGGTTAGAAGTTGAATTCAGGGTTAAATCGATTAAGAATGTGTTTATCACTATCTTTTAATACTGCATTGCTTAAGTTTTTCAGGGGTAGTTGTAGTGTATAGTCAAATTAATTATGTTAATTAAGTTGGTTTAAGTCGGGATTCGGTGATGGAGTTTTGGACTACCCATCGTCTCATGCGACCTCAGTGTACAACCCTCTAGAGGGTGTTAGTGCCGACATCTCTACCAGTTTGACAGGGCCACATCCTCACATCCCCCTTCACCAACCCTAAAACATGACATCACCCTAATAGGGTCAGTGTGCGTCCATTAATCCATTATCATTGGCCCCAAGCATGAAATCACCTAGGGTGTTGGTGCACGTCACCTAGGTGTCAAGCATGACATAATCTTAACGGATATGCATGTGCATCCCTTCGTCTCAGTCTCCACATGTCAAGAAAAATCAAACAACCTTGGCATCGAGCATAATATCATAAAAGATAAAAGGGTGGTCAACATGAATTCCCAAGTCAGACACCATCTTCACTAAGATAGTGATCATCAAGGTACTTGGGGTCAATGTGGTGACACCATCATGATATGGTGCCAAAGTCAATCATGACGACCCCCAAAAAGGATACCCCACCTTCCAAGCATGGTAGACTCTATGTAGACACTGACACTCTACCATCTACATAGTATGGATCCTCAAAGCATGACATCGAGATAGAGGGGTCATGAGGGTTCCATTGTCACACCCAAGACCTCATCACGTCCGGATAAATCTCATTGTGAAGGCTTCAGTTGTCTAAATATCAAGTAGTCTACACGGATGCAAGGGGCGTTAGGACGTCAAGGAAGCTACATCGAGTATCGAGTCAGTAGGAGGGGCACTTACAAAGAATGTTACACCTGATGGCTATAAATAGGGAAAATGAAGATGGAGCACGAGTTCAAAAAACCACAACTCTTATACACGTGTCAAATTCTATCCTTTATGTAAGTAGCCATGGGAGTAGTTTCTGGATGTGACATTGGATCTTCATAGGAGTAGAGTAATTTGACGTCGTTTGTTCCCAAAACCATCAAGACATCGAACACCCTCGTTCGAACTTGGTTAGATGTGTGAACCGTGTTATTATCCTTGTTTGAGAAGTCAAATGTGAATTTATTGAATTCAACACAATAAATTTTATCATCAAGAAATAGAATGATGGTTCGGTGTCAATAATACATGCTTAGTGACATGACAAACTTGTTGCACACTAGCTATGCATATTTCACTCATGCCCATTTGAAAATCATGTATTTTTTCTGATTTTCATAGCACCTAGTCTTGTGCCATGGTTTTTACTAATGGAGGTAGGTCAATTAACTGTTAGAAATTGTTGTTGTATCAGTTGGAGTGTAGACAACAACGACGAGAACATGATTAAGTCATCAACTTTCAGTGTGGACCCAAACTAGAAAGATATGGTGGACAATGTTATTCAATAACAGTTGTGTACTACCATATTTTGCGTGAGTTTGGTTCCACTTGTTGGAGAAGGATTATGTTTCTATAATTTGTTTGCCCACCTTTGACGTTGGTATTATTATGTGAACATGAATACATTGGTTCAGTGGCTTGAACATGCGTTTTGCTCTATGAAATACAAGTTTGTGGTAACGAAAGGCTAGTTTTATTCTACCATATGATGCACATAGAGAGGCCCTTATGAGACTACTCAACCAAATCAACAGCTAAACCAAACATCTTCAATACTCGACTCATACGCGACAAGGTGGGATGGTAGGGCTAAATGTGGCACGAGGAGCCCACAGATTGAGGAATTAGAGGAAGTGAGATCAAAAGCAGAAACTTGCGACAAACTCTCCCAAACCAGCCGATTCTAAGGTATTAAGTTATGATGAAATGTCACTGACAGAGTTGCTAAAAAAATCATATGAAGAAGATGAGTGAGAGAGTGATGAAGGAGACAATACAAGGAAGGTGAAAGCTGATTGTTGTTGCCTGTTTGAAGAAATGAAGATACGATGAAGAGAGAAGAAAAAATGCAAATGGTGTATCAAGTCAATTCCATCATGCGAGACAGGGGGAGGGGGAATAGATGGATCAAGATCTACATAGAGAGGAGTTGGTGATGGTGGAGGATTCTAGAGTGGTTGTGGAGGACAACGTGGAGGTGGACACCACATCTGCTAACAAAAATGAGAAGTAGGAGGAAGACTGATTCGGGCCTAAATGTACACTTTTTATCCCCGTTTCTCTTTGGCGTTTGTGGCATTTGAGCTCCAAAATGGTATTTTTACGCTAGGTTTGTTGTGTTTCATTGTATTTCAGAGTCCAACAGAGGAACCAACCCCAAAGTTGAAAGAAAAGGCGCGAGAGATCGGGCAAAGAGGAGGTAGCAGCCGCAGTTCACAGTCCAAGCAGTGAGTTCATGGTCATCAGGGTCGTGAACTGGAGCCACAAACCGCGAACTGCCAAGGTTCCAAAGAGTTTTCAGAGGTTACTGACGTCAAACGACCGTGAACTGAAGCCATGAACTGCGTACCAGTTAAGTGAAGCGGCGCATTTTGGACTGAGTTCACGGTCCTTGCCATTAGTTCACGACCGTGAACTGGGCGCGACATGTGTATAAAAGGGGAGCCGAAAGGAGGAAGAAGGGAGAGCCCAAAGTGAGAGAAACCTTATTCTTCTTGAAAACCTAGAGAGATAAAGCCTCGAACTAAGAGGGAGAAGAGGCTAGGGTTTGCTCCAAGTTCAGATTTGGGAAGTTCCTCTTCAAGAGAGGATCTCTACAAGCACAAGGATTGAGACATCATAATGATGGTTTTTTCCTTTTTCCTTTGTGTTCTTTCTTTTTCTAGCATTGAGTAGTCTCCTTATCACTTGGGTGTTGTAGAACCCTAACTTCTACCATGTAGTTGATTGTGTGGATTGAATGATTAGTTGTGGGTGGTGTTTAATTTAAGATTTGAGGTATTGTTCATGGTGATTGTGCATTGTGTGTGCTTGGCAATCTTTTGTGCTATTCTAACCTAGCTTAGAGGAAAAACCCCTTATCTTAAGAGGCTCAAATTGAGCTGAGTTTTCTTGGGCATTCCATGCCTCCTATCTAGGTTAATGTAGGGCAAACCTCTAAACTCAAATTGAACACCTAGGTTGATTGTGATTAAGCCGTCCAAACCCCGGTTTGAGGAAGAAGGTAAGCCAACCCTCAATTGATTGGGCCAAGAGAGCTACAATTGTAGCCTATAATACATTGTTGCTCCTCCTAGTGGTTCACAATGGCCTTGTCGCACACCGATTCATTCGATCCCACGGTTCATGGTAGTTAGTTAGGGGGAAACAAATTACGAGTGAAGCTTCTCACCAAGAGTTTCAACCCTTTTAATTTTCAAGTCTTGCTTCTTAAACGTAGATTATAGAGATTTTCACAAACAACGTTCTGCTAGGTAATGTTTCAAACAATCGAAGTAGGGGTACATGGGCTGGCCTGGGCTGATATTTAAACACACTTGCCCTATATTGCACCCATTTAAGGTTTATACTTGGACCTTAGGTGAGATTTAAGTGTGATATTCTGGTTTTTTCTGGAGAGGCGATTTCCGGAGAGCCTCCGACGAGCTTCCGGCGACACCTCTCCAGCCTGTTTTCGTGCAATTTTTCGGCTTCCTCGCCCTCTCCTCACTTCCCCTTCGATCCTACTTGCGTCTCCATCTTGGTTTTTGACCTTAGCTTTGTTAATTGTTGGAGAATCGAATTAGGGTGTGAAGTGAGGTGAATTTAGTGAATTGATTGTTGAATGAAGAAATAGGACGAGAGATTAGTTGATTAATGATAAACGAATAATGCATGTTGCATGAGCTTAATTGAGCCTTGGTGGGGCATAATTTAGGTCCAATTGCTTTTGAATGTGAAAAATTTGCCCACCAAGTGCAAAAATGTGAATGATTGTGAATATTTGGTGTTTGAATGGTGGATGGAAGCCGTCGTGGCATGGTTCGGGTTTGATATTGTGTGGATATTGGCATGATTCTTCAATCGTTCACCAAGAGTTTCAACCCTTTTACTTTTCAAGTCTTGCTTCTTAATCGTAGATTGTAGCGGGTTTCACTAACAATGTTCCGCTAGGTAATGTTTCAAACAATCGAAACAGGGGTACATGGGCCGATTTGGGTTGATATTTAAACATACTTGTCCTATATTGGAAGATGCGAGCCATAGTGAGGCACAAGAGATGGTGGTGGTAGTAGGTTGCAGGGGGAGAATCATGTGGAATAGGAGACGGAGGATGTTGATGATGAAGATAACAATAGAAAATGTGGGAATGAAGATGCCCAAAGGGGGCAATTGGATAGGCATGGGGACATGAAAGAATTTGATGTAGACGAAGCCGGGGATGTTTATGAACCTATGACGAATATTGTTGATTAGGTGTATAGAGAGATAAAAGTGAGGAAAAAGCGTCAGGATGGAGCGACGGGTGGGGGTCATAATGACATGACACTCAATATAATGGATTCATCCAACAACAACAGTTTGAAACCCATAACACTCTTTGAAGATGAACGTAAGGATCCTAATGACTGAATCTAGTTGTTTGTAATGAAAATGTACCTTCACTGAACATGAGTTTGTATATAGGTGTACCAGTCGTCAATGTTGAAACTGTATCATCGCCACCATCATTGAGCACCCATAGAATCAAGGTACTCATAAAAGGACCACAACGGTGTGTGAAATGGATCCCCATATATTTTGAGCTTTCTAAGGTGGTGAAAGG